TAGTTTCACTTCTGCTTTAAATAAAGTTGTGTATGCTTGACGTTTAAAATAAATGTTTTTATAGTGAATGTCCCTATAATTTTTGTTTGTTTTATATTTGCGATTTAGTTTGAATCCAAATGCATGCGCTAATAGAGCGAACAGCAATCAAGATCATGCAGCTCGGGCACATCCGCTATACAGGCGGGAATATTGAATGTTTAACATTATATTAATTACTTGCATGTACTTCATACACATCCTTAATCTCTAACAACTCCATTCTACTCTCTGTTGTTCTGTTTTCAGTGTTTCTTTTTCTGGACACGGCTCTGTTCACACGCTGTGTGGGTATCGGCTTTTGGTATCGGGGCATTTTTACGAGTATGAGTACAGGAGCGCAGTATCGGGCCCGATACCGAATCGGTGCATTCCTAACAAACGCCAAAATTTACATTTTTTACGTTTTATTCCTATCTATATTCTGAAGGTTTTTACTGAGGAGTTTGTTAATATATCATTCAGCTGATACAGTTTATACAACATTTTATTCCTGAAAACATATTTTTAATTGCTGTTGACAGTATTTTCTGATTTATGGAGTGATAAAAGGGGATATCCAAAATCGCCTCTATAAAAACTTTTGATTTTAATATGTTAATAAAATGAAGCAAGAATTTTGAACTAGTGTTCAGGTTTCTGTTCTGCAAATTTGAGCATATTTAAACTTAAAAAAAACAAACAACTTAAGATGTTTTTTGATTAGAAGAGGCTTTGTACTGAGTCTAAGTTGCAGAATATCTGTGGGTGTGTTTTGGTACTTGAGAAAAGCCTTTGTAATATTGCTGGCTACCGTCTGAGACGGGCCCTCCTGGCACAGCTCGACACGTCACGTCAGTCCTGATGCATGCACGATGAATAAGAATCGGTCCTGAGCTCGAGTCGGGTGCAGAAGCATCAATCAGCTCAGAAAAATCACACCTCGAGCCCTCCGCCCACACAGGGGGGAGTCCTACATGAGGTCACCCAGCCTCTAAACCTGAGAGTGGGAGGTGTTGAGACTACCGGGCAACAAAAGAGGGAAAGAGAAAGAAAGACAGACCGAGAGAGGGAGAGCGCGACATTTGTGGTGGGCTGCATTGAACACCACAAATCTGTGCTTTCATTTTCACTCTGTCTCTTCATGCTCACATCTGATGCACATTTACACAATAGCACATGCAGTGCATGTGCATGTTTACAGGTGTCTCGTGCTGCATGCAAATGATCCATATTTACCCATAACTGCTGCAAATGAGACTTGTGATGTTACTCTTGCAGTTTTAGAATTAATTATATGAGTTGAGCTGTACAAATCCTTGTCCTTTTCAGTTTTTTTTTTTTTTGCTCTTGTTTTCCGGTAAACATAAAATGGGATCCATTGAACTGATAAGCAAAATGCATATCATGTTTTTTTTTTTCCTGATAGTGTATTGTATATATGCATATTTTTGTCTTTTTAAGCAAATTTTGCTTCTCGGATGAATTTATCTTGTTTTAAAGATGCTTTGATCAATTTTTATTTATTTTGGGGTGTTTTACTCAAATATAAGACACATACCAATCTGATTTTTTTGCAATGTGTGTAGTTTTTATTCACAGGTCCTCTTTCGAAGGCAAGACGCTTCAGAATTATGACTCACCAGCAGAGGAAATACTGAGGTGTGTAGCTAACTAAGTGTAAACATTTGACAATCTGTCTGATAAATTAATGTTGTGCCTGTCAGATATTCACTTAAACCATTAAAAATAGGAGGAAAACGTAGCAATAAATTCTGAAAAACCTGCATTGCATTTTTCAAATGTTTTTAAGTTTTCACATATGACATGTGACATGATGTTCATTTTATATATGTATTTTCAATTTTGAATGTATTTTATTTTCTTTTCACTATAAAAAATATGATCAGTAAGTCATGCCAACTTATCTTTTTACAGTACATCAACTTAAAAAAAATAATATATGAAATTCAGCTTGAAGTCAGTTTAAGTTGAAATGACTTGTACAACCAAGCTGATCATACTTAAAAACTTAAAGTTCAGTTGCTGCCTTAAATTTTTAAAGTTTAAATTTAAATAGGTGGAATTTTTTAGTGTTCTTTTAAATGATGTTTAATCCTCCTTGTAACTTTTTAAAGTGCTTTTTAGCATGCTTTATAAATATTTTTTTATTTTATTTAAATATAATTATAATTATGTGTAATAAATATAATTTGTATACTGCAATACTGCAAAAACAACCACCATGATAGAAAAATGTTGTGTACGTTTCGGTCTCTGTGTACCTACTTAACTGTATTTTGGGGACAAATTTATACACAGAGTTGAGCTACACCTGACAAAACGGCCCAAACCCTCCTTTCTGGGCCGTTCTCGTTTGTAAATACAGTATAAAAAATAAAGTAAATAGAGTATTTTTCAAATTGTAAAAATGCTAAGTTATGTTGTTTATAATTAGCTGTATGGCTGTGTAAAAACATTAAAAATCCATGCACAGTAAATGTGTGTGTGTGTGTGTGTGTGTGTGTGTGCGTGGTGTGTGTGTGTTCAGCAGGTACAGTGAGGGGTGAGCGCCCGTGGTTGGTTGACCTTTGTGTGCAGTCGTGTGCAGGTTGGTTCACCTGTGGTGGTGAGTTCTGGTTAAGTCAAGTGATCTAGAGGTGTGTGGGTGACCAGAACTTTCAACCCACCTGCGGCTCAGCGCTGTGACTCATCCACACTTGCTGCTTTCTTCTGATCTACTGTCACGTGATGCCCTGAAGTCATGGACCTGAGCCATATTTACAGACCAGACTATCAGGATGCAGGACTCTTATGGCCCGGACCGGTAAGAAACCATTTAACAATCACTCAGAACATCCCAGCAAGCGCATAGCAACACTCTATAAAGCATCCACAGCGGTTAACAGAAAACACACGTTAAAATGCATCTTCGTGAGCTGTTTGTGATGTTTTGAGGTTTCAAACAGCAGGTGTGTGGGTGGAGTTTGATCAAGTAAAAATTAAGAATATTTCGTTTCATGTTTGGATAGTTAAATGGATAGTTTGAATAATTCTACTTGCACAGAATGTGAAATATGAGCTTCTAGTAACAGGGTTTTTATAGATAACTAAAACAAACTGTAGAAAAAAAAAAGTTGTTACTTGAAATAAAATAAAAATTAACTGAAATAAAATAAAATATTAATAAACTTATTTTATTTCAGCTACTTGCCCACACAACCTTTCTCATTTCTGTTTCGTTCTAAAATAACTAAAACTGAAACCGAAATAAAAATTTATATAGACACATAAAGAAAAAAAAAACACAACAGAATTACTAAAAATGTAAATAAAATTTAAACAGAAAATATAAAATAAAAACTAATAGTATCTCAGTTATACTAAAATAGCAGTGACTAGTAAATGCATTTTGTTTTTGTTTTTTTTATGCAAAAATGATCAATTATTAAAGAAATAAAGAGACAGGAAGGTTAAGGGTGCAAAAAAAGATGTTCTAGTTTGGAAATGGATGGATTAATGGAAGAAGACACTGCCAGGAAATATTCGTTTGATGTATTTTTACTCATCATCCTCTTGTCCGTTATGACTGGCCTGCACAGTAATAGCCTAAAGATGCGTCATATCTAGAGCTAGTCCTTGTTCTCATCAACCTGTGTGGCTTTAGAAGGTTCAACAGAGGTCACAGAGGAAATTCAAATTGCGCTGCATCATATTATATATATTTATATTATATGTTGTATTATATTTCATTTATATTAAATATTTTTGTGTTCTCATAACTTCTCAGTGCCGTAAGAAGCCAACTTTAGTGAAATTGTGTGTGCTGCTTTAAAAAAGTTTATTAAATATTTGATGTATTTTATGACCTGATTGTGTTGAAGTCACTTTATTTATTTATTTATTTATTTATTCTCTAAACAGCTTGTCATACTCTAGATGGATGGCCAGTCACAGTTTTTATTATTATTGTTATTATTATTATTATTATCCTATATGTGAATACTTTAACTTTTATTTTTGTGATGCATTTTTACATTCTAATAACTTCTCACTGCTGTTACCTGAATATTTAACATATTTTATAACCTGATTTTATTTTATTATTTTTTATTTTTTTATTTTTTTATTAGTTTATTAAATATTTGATGTATTTTATGACCTGATTGTGTTGAAGTCACTTTATTTAAATTATTTATTTATTTATTCTCTAAACAGCTTGTCATACTCTAGATGGATGGCCAGTCACAGTTTTTATTATTATTGTTATTATTATTATTATTATCCTATATGTGAATACTTTAACTTTTATTTTTGTGATGCATTTTTACATTCTAATAACTTCTCACTGCTGTTACCTGAATATTTAACATATTTTATAACCTGATTTTATTTTATTATTTTTTTTATTTTTATTTTTTTATTATTTTATATTATGACCTGATTGTGCTTCTCTCCATTCCTTAACAGTGGAGATGTGTATTTGTTTTTATTTTTAATTATTTTATTTTATTTTATTTTATTTTATTTTATTTTATTTTATTTTATTTTATTTTGAAATATATTTCTAAATGATATATTTCTCTCCATTCCTTAACAGTGGAGATGTTCAAGTGTGTTTGTATTTATATTTTATTTTTATTGTTTTTCTTTTTTTTTGTTATGGTTTTATTTTGTATTTTGTTGTCCTATGTGCATATTTTCACTTTTATTTTTGTGATGCATTTTTGCATTTTCATAAATTCTCACTGCTGTTACCTGAATATTTTTTATTTTATTCTATTTATTTATTTATTTTATTTTATTTTATTTTATTTTGAAATATATTTCTAAATGATATATTTCTCTCCATTCCTTAACAGTGGAGATGTTCAAGTGTGTTTGTATTTATATTTTATTTTTATTGTTTGTTTTCTTTTTTTTATTATGGTTTTATTTTGTATTTTATTGCCCTATGTGCATATTTCCACATTTGTTTTTGTGATGCATTATTGCGTTCCCATAACTTCTCCGCGCCATCTGAAGCATGCATTATCTGAATAGTGTATTTCATGCCCTGATTGTGTTTCTCTCCGTCTGTAACAGCGGCGTGTTTGTATTTGTGTGTTTGTGTATCAGCTGCATTACTTCTTTCACCTTCATGTGGTAACCTGGCACTGCACACACACGCCGCGCTCACTCAACGATGACGGCCACACACACACACACACACACACACACACACACTCGCTGGCATGGTTTCTCGGGCCTGTCGGTCACAGGAAGGGTATCTGCGGTCGCGCTCTCCTCGCTGTGTGCGTTTATCCGCGGTCGCTGCCCTCCTGATGTCCCGACGCGGGTCAAACCCCCCGGCCTCCGTGCGCCGCTCGTGCACCTTCGCCCGCGGCCCGAGCGGGCTTTGACCCGTCAGCACGCACCCATCCTGGGCAGGCCAGAAGGCAAGCAGCTCACGGCGGTCGTGCCAGCAGCCTGGCCCCGCGCCCGCTGATGTCATAATGGCAGGCGCCGGTGGGCGAGTTCTTCTCGCATCCGGATTCCGGAGTTCCATCGGCTCCCGCCAAACATGGCGTTCTCCTCCAGAACCCTTGGCCCCCCTCGGCCCATGTTTATGGTTCGGTCCCGTCTCTGGTACAGGAGAGCAGCAGGGGCGAACCATCACATTTGGTGCCCAGCGTGGGGGCGGTCGTGAGCCGTGGCGCTCCAACTATCCCATGGAGCTTTTCTTCTGTCTTTTCTCCACGATTTTGACTAACCTCATTTGCATCTGCTAATTAGATCCTGTTAGCATAATTCATGTGCATGACACCCTTTTGAAACTAATGAATAGACACATCTCCAGAGTCCATAATGAGCACCGCTTCCTCGTATTGCAGAATTACAGAATCGCGTGCTTTTGACTTTACCTACCAAACACTCTGAGAGAATGGTTTTCCGTTGTATTCGTGAAGGGTTGCAATGCTGAAAGTTTCTGAAACATGTCGTCTCATGTTTATGATAACCTGTTTTACCAAACTTATGGATTTGGCTGATGCGGTCAACTTGCGGTGCATTTTATCAGCTTGATACTAACCCTTGATCTTGAGCAAAATGAACTAATGTTTGAGCTGCAGGAAAACAATAGTGCATAAAGAAATGGATACTGGATTGGATCTGAGTGTAATGATTTTAAAGCAGAAAGAGAGTTTGAGTCTGAAAGAATCACAGTAAACTGTTCCAGCAATAGTAACATGTTTATAGAGATGCAGGACAAGTTATTTTTTAATTTAATTTTATTTATTTAATAAAAGAAATTATTTATTCATATACTTTTTGATTGACTTTTTGATTTTTATTTATTTAATATTTATTTTTCTTTTTTGCATATGAAATTTTTTTTTTATATTAATTTTTCTATTTTTTCTATTAGATTTGAGTGTAAGTTTTATGCATTCATGTATTAATTCATTTATTTAATTTATTTTTTCATTTATTTAACGTTAACGTTAACTTTATTCTTTTTTTATTTTTGTTTGATTTATAATTGTATGTATTTGTTAATTTATTTATATAACTTTTATTTATTCTTTTATCTTTCGTTTAATTTTAAATTGTATATTTTTATGAAATATTGAGTTTAGTATACATTTTTTAACTTTAATTAAACTTTATTTGATTTATTTCTTATATTTATTTTTGGATATTACATTTTATTTTTATATTAATGGCTATGAAATGTTGATTTGAATGTAAAGGATTTTATGATGTGCACAAAAAAAGTGCATCTTATCTATACACGAGACATGAAACCAGCACAGCTGTATGAAATCACTGAACCAACAGTCAATAATGGATTTTAGAGTCATTAAATGTTGATATTTTACCACAGAATTATACCATTATAACCAGTCAGAATCAAGAGAGCCATCTAATAATTAACACATTCAGAGATTTCACATTATACTCCAGTACTGTAGTGCATGATTGCTTTAGTAAAGGACTGTTTATTTGTGCTCAGACTTCAATCAATGAAGCCTCAAACAGTGTAAAATGCAGCTGGCATCATTATTTTTCTGTTTTTCAGATGAGTCTTTAAAATCTCTACATCAGTGTGGACGGCTGGACGCAGGACAGATCTGCTGTTTGATGAGTTTATATGGAGCTGTAGACAAGAATGGAGAAGGTAAAGACTGATTATCCAGGTTTTAACTACAGCTCGATTGCTCACTCTATTACTCTATTTATTTATTTATTTATTTATTTATTTATTTATTTATTTATTTATTTGTTTATTTGTTTGTTTGTTTGTTTTATTTTTAATATACCAGAATTTTATTTATTTTTACCTACAGCTTGATTCTTCACATAATTTTGCAAATTCTCAGAATAAGAGTTTTCATGTGTATTGGTGCTGTTAGATCAGTTCATGCATGAGTACACAGTGATTTTTACCATAGTAAAGTGGCTTTATAAAATACCAGAATTTTATTTTGCATTTTAAACGTGAATAACGTGATTTATTTTCACATTTATTGTTGCCTAAAGATTGCATTCTCATATAGTTTAGCAACATTATTTTATATATTATTTTTTTCATTTTATTTTACCTACAGCTCGCTTCCTCACATTATAAATTAGATTATTAAGAGTTTGCATGTGCGTTTGTACTGTTAGAGCAGTCCATGCATGTATACACAGGGATTTTTACCATGGTAAAGTGGCTGAATTGCCTCAGAGCTATAGTGTTTGCGTGCACACAGAGTTTCAGTGCGTCTGTGTGCATCATAATGGCCTGTGTTTGTGCACATTTGTGCTGCTCTGTGTTTGTGCGAGTACGGCGTGTGTGCGTGTCCCGGGTGTGGGACACTGGCTCATTTGTTTTCATGACTTTCAAAACATATTTTCATGAAACATCTCTATTAACTCAAACAAGAGGAAAAATCAATATGTCTGATATTCACAATGATGTTCCTGGTGATATAAAATTAAACAAGATTATAAGTATTTTGATTATTTATGCACTTTTTAGATATCGTTTGATTAGACTCAGTTGATTATTCTTGATAATGTGTCTCGTGTGTATGGAAATGTTGAGACAGATATTTATATTTTAATAGTGTTTCTTTTCAACTTCAGGAAAAACGATGCTGTTAGGTTTGGTAAGGTTGATTCATTTTTCAGTGAATCAGTTCACTTAAATGAATCGATTCAAAACTTTGATTTAGTGATTCATTTGTGTAATCACTCTAGGTTGACTGTCTTTCTGTTATATGCATTCATTCATCCATCCATCCATCCATTTATACATCCATTTATTCTCATCGTCCCATCATTCATCCATCTATCTATACATCCATCGTTCAAACATCCATCTGTTCATCCGTCTATCTATCTTTCCGTCCATCCATTCATCTATCGTTCCATCATCCATCCATCCATCCATCCATTGTTCAAACATTCATCAGTTCATCCATCCATCTATCTATCATTCAATTGTGCATCCATTCATCCATCCATCCATCCATCTATCGTTCCGTCATTCATCTATCCATCCATCTATCTATCCATCCATCCAACGTCCCATCATCCATCCATCCATTGTTCAAACATCCATCAGTTCATCAATCTATCTATCATTCAGTTATGCATCCATCCATCCATCCATCGTTCCGTCATTCATCCATCCATCCATCATTCTGTCATTCATCCATCCATCCATCTATCATTCCATCATTCATCCATCCATCCATCCATCCATCCATTGTTCAAACATCCATCTATCTATCATTCAATTATGTATCCATTCATCCATCCATCTATCGTTCTGTCATTCATCTATCCATCCATCTATCTATCGTTCCATCATTCATCCATCCATCCATCCATTGTTCAAACATCCATCAGTTCATCCATCCATCTATCTTTTGGGGAAGTCGTGGCCTAATGGTTAGAGAGTCGGACTCGTAACACAAAGGTTGCAGGGTTCGAGTCTCGTACCAGCAGGGATTGTAGGTGGGGGGAGTGAATGTACAGTG